GATATTTACTTCAGTGCATTCGTACAACCCTACGCCAGTGTGTATCTTCATATGACGTTTGAGTGCATGCTTAACAGTAAAGCTTCTGTTACACTGAAAAAATTTTTACTTATTGTATTTAATCTTAAACGTATATATAATTTAAATAATTACTTCTGTGCATACGTGGGGTTTTTCACCAGTATGTCGCCTCATATGAAACTTGAGAGCATGCTTTATAGCAAAACTTTTATTGCACTATAAAAAATATTTATTTATTATATTTATTCTTAAATAAATATGATTTCGATATTTACTTCAGTACATGTGTAGGGTTTTTCACCAGTATGTAGCATCATATGATACTTAAGAGCATGCTTAACAGCAAATTTTTTATTGCACTATAACCAATGTTTATTTATTATATTTAATTTCAATTTTTAATAAAAATAATTGTAATATTTACTTCAGTACACGTGTAAGGTTTCTCACCAGTATGAGAAACACGATGATTTTTCAGCGAGCTCATATTCGGAAATTTCTTTTCACAAAAATCACAAGCAATAAGTTGTTTTTCTTTCTGCATATTTTTAGGAACTCTGTGAAAAATTTGGAACAAAATTAAATATATATTATGTTATTTGTATATTATTAAAAATTTACTTCAAAGCCGGTAATTCATTGTTGATCAATAAATTCTGTGTGGTTGTTTCAGTTAAGTTATTTGCTATTAACTTTTGTGGATCACTATCACCTTCGATTGTAGGTCCATCATTTATAACTGTACTAGTCTCTGTTTCAAGAATACTAATTTCTGGCTCCTTTTTAATAGTTTCATTTTCTATCGTTATAACAGAGTACTGTTCGATTCCTAAAAATAAATTTTCTGTACTACCTTCAGATAATTCATTTTTTTTATATTCTTTCTCATCAACACCATCGTCGAATATAGCACAATCATTTATAACTGGATCAATTAGAGTATCAGGAATAGTAGCCCTTAGCTCTATTTTTGTAGTCTCGTTGTCTATTATTATTGTAGAATACTCCCTAACCACAGTACTTCTTTCATTTACTGCTTCTTCTATAAATTCTTGTTTAGGAGTGTCATTTTCAAACAAAATTTCATTTTTTGTTATCGCACCAACTAGATTGTGAGGAATAATAACTGTTGGTTCCGTTTCAATACTTTTGTTTTCTATCGTTAGAACATTTCTTGGCATTTCTTCATCTTTCGAAAAATGTGAAATAACCTTATCTTCCATTGATGAATATTTTGTTGGTGACATTATATTATTATTAGTTGAAACATTTTTAATTGGAAGTTCGTTTAAATCATCAAGTCTGTAAATCTTTGTTAGCGAAGACACAGAATTATTTAGTTCTAATTTTGGTGAATTTTTAGTACTTCGATTAGTCTCAGAATCTTTTTTAATTGATGTGAATTCTTTATGACGAGTCACAGAGCCTTTTTGTTTCTTCGTATTGTGTTTGGCTGAAATAAATGCATCTATTAAAAAGGTCTTATTTTATGTGACTTTATATGTTATTCATAATATATATGTTAATATTTAAAAATTTTTTGTTTAAAATTGATTAATAATAAGCACTGTTTTTTACGTATAAAGGTGTTCCCGGTATTTCTTGAACTTACAAAATATGTTAAAATATAAACTATAATTTCGTACCGACATTCAAAGGTTGTTCAAACTTAATAGTATCTATCATGTATAATTTGTATGGTTATAAAATTAGTTTTGATTTGGAATAAAGTATTGATCAGTTAATAAAATTATTTCGATAATTAACATTTATATTTATTTAATTAATCTATAAATTTAAATAACAAAAATTTTAAACTATTTTCATATGAAATGCGGTTTTAAAATTAACACACGATTCAAACATTATGTGATTGATTAGAAATTTAAACTCAAAGTAACAATCATTTTAAAATATAAAATTACTCTTTTACTTTTATGTACTTCCATATTATAATGAGTTTTGAGTTCTTCCTTTGTCGCATACATCGTTTTACATTCTTTGCATTTAAATTTATGCTCTTGGGATTCATTTTTATCCTTGCTTTTAGATGAATGAATTCTGATATGTTTCTTAAGTCTACAAAATTGAAATATTATTATAATCAAATTAATCAAGAAGAATTACTTACTCCTTATTGGTTTTGAATTTTTCTTTACATTGATCGCAAGCGAATGGACGTGCATGAGTTTTGCTATGATAGTCTAGATTAAGGGCACGTATGAAACGTTTTCCACAATCTTTGCAAACGTGTGGTTTTTCAGCAGCATGTCTCTTCATATGATGATAGAGTGAACTCTTAATAGAAAAGCTTTTGTTACACTATAAAACATTTCGTTGTTAATTAATTTTAAATGAATATGATTGAAATATATACTTCAGTGCATTTGTGTGGTTTTTCACCGGTATGACGCGTCATGTGATCATGGAGTGAACGTTTAGCAGTGAAACTCTGATTACACTGTAAAAATTTTAACTTTATTAATTATTTAATATTAAATAAAAACAATATTGATATATACTTCATTACACTTGTAGGGCCTTTCGCCAGTATGTGTTTTCATATGACGAGTAAGTGCATGTTTTAGAGCAAAAGTTTGATTACACTGTACAAAAATATATAATTATTATACTTAATAAAAGTAACAAATGTATACAAAGGTGCGAACAGTAATGAATTACAATAACAAAAGTGTTATCTTTAGTTTATTTATTTGAATGACTATACATATTAAAGCTATTTCAAGCATTGTCAAATACACAGCATAAGCGGTATTTCTACATGGACTACACATGTTAGGCTTGAATTTTTGATATATCGAACATTTGAAACAATAATACGTCTCGCTTATTAACAAAGTATGCCAATGTTGGTAAAATTTTAAACAGTTGCCATGCTTTTGTTAGAATATACGTTATAAAACACAGCCTGTATAAATGCAATTAGCTACTAACTATTAAAACAGCTGTATAGTTAGCTCAAGAGTTAACTTGATTAAAAATTTATTTTAATTTTAATTTTTAATTAAAAATTAACTATTATATTCATTTTAGCATATTTTTTTAAACTATCTGTTGGCAAAGTATTATTTTCAAGCACATCGTTACTCGTTACTTATTGTTACAGAGAAATTATGCTAAACGTTATTCTACCGATCGTCAAAACAAATCATTACTGTTGGAACCTTTATACTTAAAAAATAGTTCATTTTCAACACTATTGATTTTACTTAATAAATTAAAATTAAAAAAAAAAATTGCAATATTAACTTGATTGCATAGATAAGGTTTTTCACCAGTATGTCGCCTCATATGATACTTGAGAGCATGCTTAACTGCAAAACTTTTATTACACTATAAAAAATATATATAGATGTTATATTTAATATTATATAAAATCATAGCACAACTTACTTCAGTACACGCAAATAATTTTGTACCAGTATGCCGCGTCATATGACATTTAAGTGTATTCATATGAGAAAAGCTTTGATTACACTATTAAAATTACATATTATATTTTAAATAAATGTTATATATTAAATATATTTACTTCAGTGCATGTAAAAGGTTTTTCACCAGTATGTCGCCTCATATGACGATTGAGTGACTCCTTAACAGAAAAGCTTCGATTACACTATAAAATATTGCTTATAATATTTAGTATTAAATAAAATGGATTGCAATATATACTTCAGTACATGAGTAAGGTTTTTCACCAGTATGAGAACGACGATGATCTTTTAATGCACTTAATGATGGAAATTTCTTCTCACAAAAATCACAAACAACGCGATTTTCTCCATATCTCTCATGTTGTTTTTCATGCAACTTCAAAAGGTTAACTGTTCGTAATTTTGCATTACATGTAGTGCAAGGAAATGCGTCAGATTCCGAATGAGTTATGAAAATATGTCGCTCGTAGCTAATTGAAGTTTTAAAAGATTTTGTACAACCAGAACATTTTATTGGACCCAACTGAAAAATAAAATAGTGTGAGTAAAAAGTTAGTTACATTTAATTACTTGAAAAATTTTGAAAAAATAATCTTTTCACTGAATTAATAAATAATGTATAAAAGAACTTTAACTGATATTTCTAGAATTCGTTACGTTAGGAAATAAAAAAATTACAAATACATTTAAAAATACCAAATAATTATATATGCCATAATAAGATTTATAATTAGTTATATTGCATTATTTAATATAAAATAATATAATAACTTATTTTATAAAAAATCAATTAATATAAGAAAGCTTGACATTCATTTGTGGTGAGAAAATACACTGTAATTACCCTTTTATCTTTGATGTTTACTAGATTTGAATAAATGTACATAGTTATTGCTTTTTAATTTTTTAAAGAAAAATATATTAAACAAAAAGCAAAACGTAACTACAAAGGATGATGGTTCCAAAAATGACCGGGTCTACATCCCGAAGCTACTCGTCGCCAGGGACGACCAAGTGCCGTTCGACATCTCCCAGAAAGACTTCACAAGAAGCTCCCAGTGGGCTACAACAACCACAAAGGATGATATATAAAAACAAGAACAGTCAAACAAGAAATCGATTGTTTTCACGTTATTAGTTTTTACTAAAGTTAAATAAATTTTATTTTCCCTGTAGCAGATACTGAGCTTTAGAAAAATTAATGATTCGAAAGAAATTTTTAGGGTAAACTTTTAATAAATGAATTTGCTGAATTATATATTATAGAAATTAAAAACAAAAGGAGTTTTTACATTCGAAATTTTCTTTGTGTTCTATAGTGTAATATTGAATAATAAAATTGCAAACATTTCAGTATACAACTACATTACGAAATTAAATTTTTGGTCACATTTATGTTTTATCGAAAAGTATTTTGATGAACATTTTAAATACAATACTTTATTTGACAAATAAGACTGGTAAAAAAACAAAAACTTACATGAAATGTATCATAACTTTCGCCACAGCAAAAGCATATATTGTCCCGCTCCATATTAACTGCATCCTCTTCGATTTTCTCAATATTTGTCATCATTTCTATATTTGGTAGGTGGAACCCAGTATTCAAGTGACACAAGTTTAAATGTTTTTCAAGCTCCTATAGAAGAAGACAAGATTTAGAAAAACTTTAAAAAAAATAAAATCCAGTACTTACGCTAAATCGTCTAAACGACTTATAACAATTACCGCATTTCTGTTCTTGAGTACAATCTTCTTCTGAAGTATCATTGCTTAAATCTACCATATTAAATTCAGTAGTTGTTTCCGATTTTACTACACTATCAGTTAGTGTAAAATCAACTATAGGGCCTTCCTCGCCTCTAATGGAAATTGTTTTTAAAACGTGACTCATTTCTTTTAATTTCAGCTTTCAAATGTTTTCTCATTAAAAATAATCCCAGTTCAATCCAGAATTAAAGTCGTAACATTGTACATTGTCATCAGCACAGCGAAAATAATATTTATTTACATATAAATAAAACATCAGTTTATTTTTCAAAAGATTGGCAAATAACAAACGCACTTCCATACAGAAAGCTCGGTATATTGTTTTCAAATAGAGTAAACACAAAGTGAAGTTGGTTTGCAATGGCACAACAATTGTATCTTCATTGAGGCAGAAGTAAGAAATACTTTTTATTGTACTTCATTAACAAATCGTATATATATATACATATATATCTAAATTTGTTTACATATTGTTTACCTAATACCACATTCACTATATTGAACATTGAAATGACAAATGCAATTTAAAAAAAATCATAATTTATTATGCATACCAGAGTTGCAATTTATGCAGGACAAAAACTTCATATTTACATAAAACAGATTTAGTTCATAAGGGTATCATACGTGCTCAGTAACTCGGCAACATATATGTTTATGCGTTATTCAATGTTACCGAGTTAAGAAATTACCAAACATCAAGACTAAAATTTTTTCTGATATTTTGTAAAACATCAGCTGATTTTTATTATTGTGCAGTGCTGCGAAATATTTTGATTTATTTGGAATTTGAAGTGTTTCAAATAATATTAAATAAATAAATTTTAGTAGAAATAAAATAATTATATAAATAATTCTACTTTTTCATCATTTTACTTTCAATTTTTATGCTTTTGTGTAAAACAAAATCAGCAAAAATAAAAGCGGTTTCGTTGACACTTCAATATTAACCAGAAAACGTTCATACATTTGTCATTTTATTGTTAAACTATTCGAGAAACGTTTATTACCCTCAGTTAATTTTTATTTCATCTTGAATTTCATAATAGTCCGTTGTAAAATTTTATATTGATACTGTTTTTAACTCTAAATTGAAAGATAATGTATAAATGAAATTCCGATGAATTATATAGACAACTAATAGCCCGTTTAAGCTTGCATTGATTTATTGCAATTATTTAAAATATATGTTTAAGCTGCACATTCATTGTAATTGTAATAAACGAAACATGTAATTTTTTACTTACTTAACAACGCTATCATCCAACATCCAAGAACAGCCTTCATTGAAACGAAGGCTGAAGTTAAGGGACATTTTAGTTGCATTTGAAAGATAAATTTTAAGCAAAAGGTAAGTTGAAATAACTAAGAAGTGACATTTTTTTTAAACAGCTGCAAATAATTTAAATTTAAATATATAGAAAAAAAACTGTAACTATTATTAATTTAAAATAGAGTGAAAAATAATAATTGACATACCTGAAACCCACTACAGCTAATTAAACTGTTGAATGCCATCCTTTATAGGTTTAATAATCAACTTTTACAATTTCCCAGATACAAATGGTGTTTGGAGCATGTAATTTTTAACATTAGATTTGTAAACAAAAAACTTATGATTTGTTTAATTTGGCACAGTATTAACACTTTCCAAATTAACTTAATTTAATTTTAACGAAATTGATTAAATTTGGCTGTCTGAACATTTATACTATGTTATATATATATATATATATATATATATATATAT